CCCCAAAACCCCAAAACCCCAAAACCCCGTAACTTCAAATTAAAACAAAATAGATAGAAACTCTTAGTTTGAAAATAATTTATTACGATAACATCGGATATTTAATTATGCCAAAAATTATTAATATAATATAGCAATGAATTAATCAGCAGGCAACAACTCTACCTTAAAACGAAGAAATTTCTTTCAAGAGGATGAAAATAGTGTATCAAGGCTAGTACACTTCTTTAAAAAGAGAATTTTCACAGCTAATCATTTAATGATAAAAGCCTTTCATCTGCACCCATTTCTTCTCTTTCTCATTTTGATTTTTGAATATTTGCAATTTGCTTATTATGCACTTCATAAAATTCAAATAACTGATAACTTCCACAGTCACTCTCAACAATCCGGCTAAACAGAAGATAATTTAGTGACGAGTCAGTAAGCTATTGACTTCGATTCGGACTACAACTTTTTGAGAATATTAAACTACCATCAGATTATCATTAATTATAGAGGTAAATAGGCGCTTAGAAATTATGAGATAGCCCTATACTCTCATCTAGCTATCTTCATTATTTTGATTATTTGGATGCTCTTGGTTGGCAGCTAGAGAGTTATGAGGGCGGAAGAATTCCACTCTGAAGGAAAGACAAATAGTAATGATTTAATAGCTTCAAATTTCAAAAACAAAGGTAAGATTTCATTATAAGTTGTCAATCTCTAATTATAGATAAAAGTTAAAATGGCCATGACTCTGTCTAGCAATTAAATACTGATAGAAGAACATACATGAGCGCTCCCTATTAGCATTTACTATTAGGCTGTGTTGTGTTTGTGGTTACAAATTTATTCATAATGCCTACATTTTTCCTTTATTCAACAATAATAAATTGCGATAAGCTCGAACAGCTGGGAACATATATAGAAAATGGCGTAGAGTATAGCGATTTCGTATGCTTATCAAAAGAACATATCATAATGATCTCTACTGCTTCATTTCTAATGATGATTGCACTCATTTTTATTGTGATAGAATCATTACTATTCTAAGATTTAAATATGAAATCTAATTTGCCTTGGAGACAAGTGCCATCTAGAATCCATTTATTTAAGATTCTCAAGAAAATTGTAGTATCTTTCTATAACTTCTAAATAATGACTGATAAACCAATTGCATTAGGCGTATTCTGCTTAATTCAGTTATTAATTATAGCTAAAAGATTCTAATTTTCGAGAATATACATATAAAAGTACAGAAATTGGATTTTGTTTACAGAATTCTCACTTTTCTGGCTTGGATTTTGGAATTTTATTCAGAAAGTGTCTTTTTTTGGAATAAATATATATTCTTTTAGTTTTCTCTTAATAGGGGGCTTGTTCCCCTATTACTTAGTAATGCTATACTTATTTACTTAGTGGAAATTTGAAAGGCTTTTCAATTCAGACAGACATTCTTTAAAAGAACTTGGCTCTGATATTGCAGCTGAGGCATATTTTGGCTACTTATTAGACCTAATCAAAACATCTTAGAAAAATTAGAATGATAAATTGATTTTATATGGCCTATTAAGGATACATTGGTATTCATGCAACTCAGTAAGAGAAAATGAGCAGTGCCTATGCAACACACTAATACAAAGAATTGATAGGGTAGAGAGAGCAATCGATGAAGAATTTTAAAGTAGAAATGATCAATTTGACTTGATGAAAATTCAAAAATAGATCGGTTAGATAGAGGATGAGATTTTAAAGCAGGAAGAATAGGAATTATAAAGTCTTAAAAATAGCCATTAGGTAACCAAAATGTCAATTAATATTGATCACCTAATGAATGAATTGAGGAAAAGTGAAATTAATAAGAAAAAAAGCAATAGCAATTTCTTATCTCCAAGATCATAAGATGCGAAATCATTAGTGATTGAAGACTCTATGAACAACTTTGATCATGACAGTTAAAATATGATGAATCTGCTTGGTGAAGATGCAAATACATTATAATATCCTAATAATCAATAAGCAGCCTTAAACTAAAAAAGTAATTTGATTAGAGTGAATGAAGATGAAGAAGATGAGATACAAGTTCATCTCTCTAAAAGTGAACTTTAAAAGTAAATAAAGATTCTACTCTATAAGTACATTTACAATTAAATAGAAGAAGCAATAAAAGCCTTTCCTTTTTCCTTTAGACTGAAATATTTGGCAGCATACATTCAATATTACCTTCTAAAAAATGAAATAAAAGGTCTATTTGAAATATTAATTATTGAAAGAAGGAATAAGCTTCCGATTGAATGGCAGTTTTTTCTTTTCAAAGTAAAAATTGAGATCGAGGACTATATGGATCTAGTTCATAAATAGAGATCATCTACTACTGGAAGAATCGATGTGAAAAAAGTATACTTATTTGCAAGGCAACTTTAGGACTTCGAAATAGGGATTGAAACAATTTCCGACAAATGTCTTGATTTTTGGAAAGAGCTCTTAAAGAAATCAGATTTTGATGCAAACAATTTGCACAAAGTTGGAACAGATATAACTCTTATGAACATCTAAATACATAACTTAGTCTAAAGCATGTTTAATATAAATCCTCATCACGGCTATCTCCTCAGAATATATGCAATTTTTACTTAAAAAGTCATGAACAATGATGAAGATAGCGAAAAATACTTTACCAAATTTCTCAATGCTCAGAAAACATTCTAGTCTTATGAAGCTTCGACTTTGTAAGAGGAGCTAGTTAAGAATTTTTCGAGTAACATAAAGTATGCTGTAATAGTCATGAGAGTAAATACAAATGAGACTGGTATAGTTGAAGATGTTAACCATGAAATAAGAAATTTATTAGGGTATAAAAGAAATGAAGTAATTGGTAGAAATATCCAAGTATTGATGCCTAAGTGTGTAGGTAATTTGCATGATTAGTTTGTCTAAAATTACCTTGATACTGCAAAACCAAAAATTCTTAATAAGCAAAGAGAGGTATTTGCTTTGAAAAAGAATGGTTTTCTTGTCCAAGTCTTTATATATGCCACTTCTGTTCCAATGATAGAGAAAGAAGGCATTAAATTTGTAGGATTCATTAAAAAGGTAGATGAAAAAAAATATACAGATATTTTACCTCCTCCAATTGAATACTAATTTAGAAAATCAATACAAATAATGGCAGCTCCTAATGGAAACATCTATGGGATAAATGAATAAGCTTATAAAATACTGGGCTTTCCAAAATACTTTACAGAGGATTCTGATGATAAGCACAGTGATTATAATGTTTCTCAAATCATAATGGATTACAATAAAGTTTTATTTGACTGCTTTAAAACTGCACCTTCAGGAAGAAGAGCTTATTTAGATACTGAAAATCTAAAGCCTCTTATTATACCTGACATGCATTCAAGCAATGATGTTTAACATATTAAGAATTGCTTTGGTACATATGAAGTTTTCATCTAGGCCTGTCCACTTGATTTTGGATATAAGGGTGGAGCTTATCTACCTATGATTATATTCAGACTTTATATAATTGATAGAGTTAAGAAGGAAACAATGCTATAAATTACTTAATCCAAGAGGAAATAAACATCCAAAAAATCAATTTTAAGAAGAGATCCAAGTCGGATTGAAAGTTAGAAATCTCCTTTAATGAGTAGATTTTATGGTTCTGAACATTAATCACAAAAAATTGGAAATTTTTCCCATACAATGAGACCTAACGAGGATATTCAATTCGCTATTGAAGAAGTTGAAAACGAATTATCTGATGATGATGTCGATGCTAATTAAATCAATGTTAACGATCACTAATAGATGCCTCCTAATAAATCTCAGGAAATTTAATAATTTCTTGAGTCTAGTCAATCTTCTGCATCATTTAGCAATGAAGGGAAATCAACTGACTTAGCTAGACTTAGAGAATTTAGGAAAATGGTTAACTCTCGTAAAGAACCCTAAACAGTTATTTTTCTTAGAAGATTTGTTATTTTTGTCACTGCTATCATTTTAGCTATTGAATCTGTCAATACAGCATTTAAAATTAACTTTTACAAAAGCATTAGTGAACTAACTACTGCCAGTATAACTCTAAGTGATATTACAATTTAATTATATTAAATCCATTCTAGCATGAGGATGCTCATAAATATTGATAATTAAATCATAAGAGATGGTATTTATGGTTTGATAGATGATGGATAATATCAAATTTAGCTAACCAATAACTTAATAGAATATATTAATGGTTTAAATGACAACAAGAATCGATTCTTGGATAAACACTTATCTTACCTTGATGAAATACAAGAATATACAAATGATCTATAATTAAAAACTCTTTTTAATGATGGCACCTCAGAATTTCAAAAGGTTAACTTGAATTTAGCTCTTGGATAAGTTATTTCAAAGGGAAATAACCTCATTTAACTCTAAAGGAAAAATCCGGAGGCTTTTAAGAATAGGACATTTATATCTTACATTAACAAAGTCTCTAAAAATAATACTAAAAATAAAAATGAAACATATAACTTTACTTACGGGGAACTGGGAAATGAAATAGATCAAACAACGAAGGATCTTTATTACATTCATGAGAATATATTTAATGTACTTATAGAAAAGTGTGAGCAAATCACTGATAACATATAAAACCTGAAAGATGATTATACCGACAAGTCTTAAATTTCATTTTTGGTGATGATCTCAAGTATTTTGATATTATCAATGATATCAATATCGTTGATATTCTATTTCGTGAGGTAAATTCACAAAACAAGGATTTAATCTCTGAGTCTCTATGCTGAGCTTAATATTGATGACATCTAAATGATTATCACCGATCTAAGCATTTTCATGAAAATAATTAAGAATAGCAGCGATGATTTGAGTAAAAAAATCAATTAAAACCCCAACATAACTAGTGAGGAAGAATGTGAAGAAGTAGCTTTCTAAGATAACTACGAGTACGATGAAAATGAATAATTAGGAACCAATTAAATACAGACCATAAAATAAATTTCTCTGAAGAAGAAAAAAAAGTTAATACTGGACGGTCTAAGCAATAGTTTTCATGAAATTCGCAAACTGCAAAAGCATGGATTGTCAGATTTACATATTCAAGCTAAATTCTAAGAGACAATCAACAGCTCTGATTTTGACAGTTTTCATCTCAATCATATGCTGTCAAATACAGTCGTTAACAATAAACCTTAGGGAAATACAAATAACAATATCATCAATGATTAGCCAATAATTAGATTTGAACATGCAAGATCAATAGAAATGACAGTTTCTAGGTAAAGCTCATTTGTTTAAGAATCTGCATCTTTAGAACTCGTAGAAAGTAGTATGGTAGAAATAAATGAGATAGATTTATCTTCAAGAGAACTAAATCCACAGGAAATTAAAAGAAACAAATAGACAAAAAATACTAAAGATAAAAAGCTGACTCCATAATAGATAGAATAGCAGAAGAAGTTAGAGGAAGAGGAAAAAAAGGTTGGGAATCTAGACAAATTTAAAATGGTTAAATCTAACTCAGGGATAAGAGTGATAAGCATTGTTTTGTGTCTTTTTTCTTTTGTAATCATACTAGTGATTGCAAATTTTGCCATTTATGTCCCAATGTACAAAGATTTCAAAAAATCTCATAGATAAGAGTTAGTTCTTCTAACATAGTTTAGAGCTTACTATAAAATATATATGCAATTTATGCATGATTTAACTAATGGCTCTATTCAAAGATCAATTCCTGAAACTTATTAATCAAACTTCAACTTCTACTAGCAGAAGAAATTTGATGTATAACAAGAAATTAATCGAATCATTCATACTCACGATTAATCGTCATATATAACTGCTCCAATACAACTTCAAAGTGCCATTTATACCTCCGATTACTGTGATAAAATTTAAGAGTATTATAGTATTCTCAACGCTAATTTCAATCTCACATATTGCTTAACTGTAGATAATTAGATTGCTTAAAAATAAGGATTTTAGATTTAGATAGATAGAATGATGGGTGAGTTGACTAAGATGAGATTAGTAATGGAGGATCGTATTATTGATTATGATAGGTATATATTGCTATTTGATAAGGAGTAGATTCTTTCAAAGTTATAATACATGATAAACAACTTATTTACACCTACATTCTATGCATTAAAATATTTGGTTAAAGACAGTTTTGATGAATATATTAAACTAAACATGAATATTGATATTTCTTTACTTAGTGTTTTTGTTGGAGCATAGCTTTTGATTTTACTAATTGCTTGGCCCAAATTTCTCAGAAATATGAATAACCAAATATCAAAGAGCAGAGGAATCTTGACTCTTATTCCAAGTCGGTTGATAATTACAAACAATAACATTAAAAAAATCATTGAGCAAAATAAATTGCTTACATAGTGATTAGTGATTAAATAAGACTAATAATTTCTTAATTGGAATTTATTTTTAAAATAACGATTTGACTAAATACTTAAAAATATATCACTGCGGGGTTTTGGGGTTTTGGGGTTTTGGGG